CTAGCTACTTGGGGTAGAAGATTAGAGCATTATTAATTTTAAGCTTTTCTACTTTCAAACCTTTCTTTTAAAACATTTATGCCTATAAATTTCTTTCTACCCACCGCTTTGTCTCCGTCAACAGATTTTGGTATGCTGTGTCTTCATTGTCATCCTGGATCTTACGATAGCAGTATTTATTTCCCTTTCAGATGCCTCTTCTCTTTAGTATTTGTAACGCCTTTTGCTCTGCTTGTAGCAATGAAAGTTCAGTATTCTTAAAGATAACCTGTAGTCCATACATGGGGATTATTTCTTATCCTGTAAAATCTGTGTACTAAGAATGGTCTTTATTACTCAAAATAGATAAAACAGGGACTTTTGTGGGAAAATTGATAAGTGCTTCTAAAATACACTGAAGTATTCATTATTAACACTTTTACTTTTCACCCTCAAATAGGTAACTCATACTCTTTGTTACATGTTTATAGGTTAGCATGGCAACGCTGAAAGAACTGGACCAAAGGCTCTTCGAAAATTACATTGAGTTGAAAGCAGATCCCATTGTTGGCTCCTTGGAACCTGGAATCTATGCAGGCTATTTTGATTGGAAAGATTGCCTGCCTCCAACAGGTAGGTAAATAGTTACTGGACTTTTCTAAAAGTAATCTGATGCATCTAGAGTGATAGATGTGGATATGTTTTTATCAATTAATAAATGCTTAAAATGCTTTTCTCTTTATTCACATTTTTCTCTTACCCACTGAGGGTGGGAGATTAGTTTGATTTTAACTTTTTATTAGCTTAAACCTATTTCTTGGTTAGTTTGGAATTTAGTACACTTTTTATTATTAATACTCAGTGGCTTAAAGTTATTCTTAAATTCCAGAGAATAACTAATTATACCTTATAATAATTGATCATTTTAGTAATGCATACTTCCTATGATCCTTTTTTGGATAGATGCAATAGAGTAACTTTGAGTGACAGTTTTATGCAGTGACCTTGTGACCATCATCAAAAAATGTATTTAAGAAATCTGGTTACTTCCATGTAAGACCTAATTATTGATGCTGAAAAGGTGAAAGATAGAAGGAAAATGTGTAGGAGTAAGATTATTATAGTAATTTAGCAAAGAATATTAAGCCACAGAAAGATGACTGCCACAGTTCCAGTATGCTCTTTGTGATATCAAATGAAAGTGACTTAAATCACTTTATAATACATATTTTTAAAGTAACTGTTGCTTTCTGAATCAAATAAAATTTTTGATTGATCAAACAGTTATTTCTTTGTATGAAATAGGGTAGAACACATAAAACCAAGCTACCTGTTAACATTTTTATATAAAAGTGGTCTTATATAGAACTGGTCATGCTAGTTCTCATATTAGACATAGATTACTTTTGGATGTATATATGTAGATATACCAGTGAATTGTTAACAGATTTGACTTAATCTTCATTCTTTTAACTAATCACTTTAATCACCATTTGGTTTTATTACGTAGTACTTTTATTAGATGTTGATAAAATTGTTAACTGTTTGAACACCTTTGATTTTTATTGTATAGTGTTCACATATAGTGATGGCCAAAAATCTAGGAACCAGAATCATTAAATTAACAGTTATTTAATGTGACCACAGTTATTTAATTTTCTGAAATCACAGTCACTGTAGTCATTTGAGTCCTTATTCCTCCAGCCGGCCATAATTGATCTTTTTTTCCCTTAGACTCCATTACTTTTCTCTAT